TCTTTTGTAGAAGGATTGTAAAAGAAAACCAATAAAATGCACCTAAGCTATCACTGCTGGTGTCTGAAGAGTGTCCGCTCTGCAGCCCAGGTGCCCCGCCCCCATCCCAACCAAAGGGGGCTTCTTCATTCAGTCTGTTTCAGTATCAGCCATCACTCAGCCTCTGCAAAACTTCACTGAACACTCATAAGCGTATGAGTGCAAAGGGCATCTGACATCTTAGTATTATAAAAAATAGTAATGCTGTCACAGATCCCATAAAAGTATGTGGAAGATCCCCTAGCATTATTGAATCACGCTTAGAAATTTCCTCCCCACTTTCGCACTGGTGAGAATGCAGACCTTGGTGGGCACAGGCTGGAGCCACCAGAATGTCGAGCTGGTAGTTGAGGATGGAGGGGCACCTGGCTGGTGTTGCTCAGTGGATTTAGTGCTGGCCTGTGAACCAAAAAGTCACTGGTTCAATTCCCAGTCAGGGCACATGCCTGGGTTGCAAGCTGAGTCCCTGGTGGTGGGGAGCATGAGAGGCAACCACACAATGATGTTTCTCTCCCTCTCTTTTTCCCTCCCTTCTCCTCTCTAAAAATAAAATTAAATTAAATTAAAAATTAGTGCTGGTGAGGATGTGGAGAAAGGGGAACTCTTTTGTACTATAGGTGGGAAAGCAGACTGGTACAGCCACTGTGGAAAGCAGTATGGAGATATCTTAAAAGGTTAAAAATGGGTCATTCAATCATCCCTTCATTTTATTGAACGCCTGTCATACTCCAGGCTAATTTAAACACTAGAGACGTGACTTCCACCAAGATGGAGGCGTAGGTGGAAACATTGTGCCTTCTCGCACAACCTAGTTTAAAGACAACAAAGTTTTAGTAACAAAAAACGCAGCCAAAACACAGAATATGTGTTCTGGACTTCCTAAACTATACGGAAGTCCGACAACAACCAACAGTTCAGCCAGACCCATAAGAGGGGCGGAGCCAGCAGTGGAGCCAGATGGGCAGGAAAGATCACCTGACCCAGGCACGCAGGCAGCCATTGGCGGATCTCAGGTGTAGGGTAGCAAGGGGCAGACAAAGGGTAGCAATAAGGGTGCAAGGCGGCAGGTAACCTCAGTCACACATTCACACACAGATAAACCAGCAAAGGAGTGAGCAGTGAGACAGACCGCACAGGCCCCAGTGGCAGAAAGCAACAGGGGGGACCGCTATCGCCCCTCTTTGACCCCGCCCCTACATGCAGCGTCACAACCCATCAACTGAGTTGCCAGGCCCTGGTGAACATCTAGGACTCTGCCGCTCATATGTAACAGGTGCGAACAGACCAAATCATTATGGCTCAAGAACTCAAAGCCCCAGAGCCAATAACTCTAAGCAACAAAAAAATAGCCAAACTTTCAGATGCACAGTTCAAAACACTGGTGATCAGGATGCTCACAGAACTGGTTGATTTCAGTCACAAATTAGAGGAACAAATGAGGGCTAAACTAATTGAAATGAAGGGAAATGCACTGGAAACCAATAGTGATTAAAAGGACACTGGGACTCAAATCAAGGGAGTGGACCAGAAGGAAGAAAAAAAATGACCAAACAGAAAAGTATGAAGAAACAAGAATTCAAAAAAAATGAGGAGAGTCTTAGGAACCTCCAGGACATCTTTAAATGCTCCAACATCTGAATTACAGGGGTACCAGAAGGGGAAGAGAAAGAGCGACAAGTGGAAAACTTATTTGAATAAATAATAAAGGAGAACTTCCCCAATCTTGCAAAGGAAATGGAATTCCAGGAAATTCAGGAAGCTCAGAGAGTCCCAAAGAATTTGGACCCAAGAAGGAACACACCAAGGCACATCATAATTACATTAGCCAAGATTAAAATGAAGGAGAGAATCCTAGAAGCAGCAAGAGATAAGGGGACAATCACCTACAAAGGAGTTCCCATCAGACTGTCAGCTGATTTCTCAAAAGAGACCTGACAGGCAAGAAGGGTCTGGAAAGAAGTATTCCAAGTCATGAAATCCAAAGACCTACATCCAAGATTGCTCTATCCAGCAAAGCTTTCATTTAGAATGGAAGGACAGATAAAGTGCTTCTCAGATAAGGTCAAATTCAAGGAGTTCATCATCACCAAGCCCTTATTATATGAAATGTTAAAGGGACTTATCTAAGAAAAAGAAGATAAAAAATATGAACAGTGAAAGGACAGCAAACTCACAGTTATTAACAACCACACCTAAAACAAAAGCAAACTAAGTGGACAACTAGATCAGGAGCGGAGCCACAGAAATGGAGATCACATGGAGGGTTAGCAACAGGGGAGTGGGAGGAGGAGAAGGGGGGGAAGGTACAGAGAATAAGTAGCATAGATAGTGGGTGGGGAGAAAATAGACAGGGGGGAGGGCAAGAACAGTAGTGGGAAATATAGAATCTAAAGGACTTAGACACATGGACATAAACTAAAGTAGGGGAATGTTGGGGGAGGGGGTGTGCAGCGTGGAGGGAAATGAAGGGGGGGAATGGGACAACTGTAATGGCATAATCAATAAAATATATTTTTTAAAAAAGAAGAAAAATTGTACCCTTTTGGCAATATGGAAGGACCTGGAGAAAATTATGCTAAGTGAAATAAGCCAATCAGAAGAGACAAATACCATATGATTTCACTCATATGTGGAATCTAATGAACAAACAGAACATGCGAAATAGAAACAGACTTCAGAGAGAGCAAGCTGACAGCCAGTGGGGTGGGGGTAGATGAGGGGATGGAGGGATTGAGTTAAAAGGGAAAAGGACTCATGGACATGAACAACAGTGTGGTGATTGCTGTGAGGGAGGGGGTATAAGGGGGCTAAATGGTAATGGAAAAAAAACAATAAAGATTAAACAAAAGCTGTAGAACTCTATGAAGGAAAAGATTTACTGCATGAATGGATGTGCGCACAGCAGCAGAAGTTCAAATGATGGGGAATACAAGATGATACCCAAAGAAGGGCTTACGGAGTGCTGTGAGGCTCCTCTGCCCTCTCCCTTTGTCCCTACCCTGCACGCTGTGATCCCTCTTGAAAGGATTCCAGGACTCAGTTCCAGCATGTGATGTGTGGAAGCTTCCCCACACCAACAAGCAATTCTCGGAGGACAACAGAGACGGAGAATTCAACTCAATTCTGATACCATCTTTGCGAAGATAGAATCAGATTCCACAGGTAAAGGGCTCGGTCCCACAGACCACCCTCCTCTTCAGAGGCCAGTTCGTGTGAACCCATGCTGTTACCTGTGCTTCTGACCCACCAGCCTCACACCAGAGGTCCCTGAGACCCTTTCTTTGTGTTCGATTAGTTTTGCTAGAACATCTTACAGAACTCAAGAAAACCTGTTTACTCATTATATTACCGATTTATTAGCCAGGGAATTAAATAACACAAATGAACAGCCAGGTGAGGAGATACATAGAATGAGGTCCCAAAGGAAGAAGCCTCTGCCTCCTGGAGTTTGGGGCCCAGCAAGGTGGAAGTGTTCTGATTCCTCAACGTGGAAGCTCAAGGAAGAAGGCCCAGGAGGTAATTCTTTCTGGGGGGTTTTATGAAGGCTTCACTTAGGAAGTCATGATTGACTAACTCATTGGCCACTGGTGATTAATTCAACCTCAAGCACTGCCCCTCGATTCCCTCAGTCAGGGGGTGGAACTGAAAGTTTGTTGAACCACATGATTGGCTCCTATTGGGTGGGATCCAAAAGTCACCTTATTAACATAACAAGAACGGCCTCTTCGGAAATTTCAAGGGGGTTGGGAGCTGTAAACTAGGAACTGTGGAAGACTAAGTATGTCTGCCGGGTAAATTTCAGTCATCTGAATGAACAAATATCTATGTATTTCTTAGAAGTCACAAGATTGCACCTCCTCTAACAAAGTTCCTTCAACTGAAACCCTGAGAAGTGGAGCCAATCCGGCCCCATATAAGCAATCAGAGCAAGGCTACTTCTTGCCTTTAGGAGGAAGTTCCAAGCAAGACCTTTGGCTATACAGAGGGCGTTAGCTTGTACTACGACCCCATTGTCAGGAATATTCGTACATAAAATATTTCTCTAGAGTACTAAAACCTAAGTGACGGCAGTTGATGGCCTGTGAAACAGGTGAAGTTATGGTGGGGTGGTAAATTGTGATCAAAGCCTATCTCAGAGCTCATGATCTACAAGCAACATGGGTGTCAACTAAAATTAAATAATGGTTGGATACGAAGTACAACAGGATCCCTGACGTCCTTTGTGCACCCCCGTTCTCAGTGGAGGACGGTTAAGGACCGCAGCCGAGGGCCCGCCCCTCCATCAAGGCGCGCCCTACCTCACTCTCCGGGGTGTGACCCCACCCACAAACAGACACCCCCCACCACCACGCCCTGTGGCCCTGCTGTTCCAGAGACACGCTCTCCCCCTTCCTTGTTCCCCTACTCTGTTCCCTTCACGCTCTTGTTGGCTCCGCCCCTTCCGGCCTGCCCTGCGCGGCACCCCCGGGCGAGCTTCTTGCATCTTTCTCTTTCTTACGGCACCGCATCTCAAATCCTGCTGCTCAAATCCTGCTGCGGTTGCGTTTTGAGCCCTGAGGAGGGAATGTGGCGGGCGCGGGAAGGTTCCTGCTGCGGCGTCCGGGCGAGTACTGGAGTTCTCATTTTCTCCAGGACTCGGAGCTGAGGCCCGAAACAGAACCGGAGCGGGTGGGCGGGAGGGGAGGCGACGCGGGTCCCAGGCATGGGGTCCCGGGACACAGCGCCCACTCCGGCTGAGAGCTCGGAACTGGCGCCCTGGGCTCCGCTGGAGGCCCCCGCCCGCCTCCTGCTGCAGGCGCTGCAGGCGGGGCCGGACGGGGCGCGGCGCGGCCTGGGGGTTCTGCGGATGCTGGGCAGCCGCGGCGGGGAGCCCTTGGCTTGGGGCCGCTTCCTGGAGGCGCTGTGCCGGGAGGAGGCCGTCACGGAGGGTCCAGACTGTCGGCTGCAGTTGTAAGTGGGCCGGTCGGCTGCTGGCGGAGCGCCCGGCTCCGCATTTCACCCTCCACTGTGGGTGAGGCAGGGGCTGGCGCCTCTTCCCTTCTCCAGAGGAGAAGCCGGAGGCTAGGTGAGGTTAATTCCCCCTAGCGAGAGGGTCCCTGCCGCGCACAGGTACTTCGTACCTACTGTGTGCCGGCCATTGCCGCGTACCTGGACGCAAGACTCGCCTTCTGCTGGTTGTAAATGAATAATTATGTCAGTGGGCTCAGATCGATCTTGATCGTACATTCATTCCATCTATGAAGAACTGATCTCGTACCTTTAGTATAGACATACTTAAGTACAAAGTATACACGTGTTAAAATACGTACATTGTAACGTAAACAAAAATTGAGATTTAAAATGAGATAAATGACAAACATCTGGCTGTGGTGGCTTTATATTTCGGTTTTCAAAGCATAACATACATTTTGCGGCGACATCACTTGCCTTAAGAACGGTGTTCTTCATCATTTCCAGTCTTGGGTGAATTCGAACTTTTCTTTTTTGCTTCTATGTGGCTGATAATTCCTACTAAGTGCAGAGGTGTCACCCCCGCCATTTTCTTATTTGGTTGTGATTCCGTTATCGGTATTCACTTTCTTTTCAGGCAGCCTTATAAGCCATGTGTCCATTTTGTAAAAGTTCTGTTTTTCTTAAAAAGAGTTAATACTGTACTCAAGTGCATTTAATTGTTATGCTAACTAAAATACACAGAAAGTTTAAAAATTCAGTGCCACCCGCAGCCTCTACGGGTGTGAAGAGCCGGCCTTCCTCTCGGAAACCCCTGCCTCAGAATCGGGCCAGGGCCAATCCACATATTAAATATTGGTAATATTTAATTTCTTGTGTTTTAAATAAGTCAAAACAGAAGTTTTTATATCTTCTTCACACAGTCCTCTTTAAGTTTATTTCAAGAGATAGGTCAGGAGAACTTTCAAAACCCCCAACTCGGAGGCTATAGAAATGCTTTCCAGTGGTCTGGATTTTTCTGCACAGAGTAAGGGGGGTGGGGACTTAACCTAAGGTCCCTGAATAGAACTGTACTTAAGTATCATTGGTTTCTTTTGTAATCATATATATTTTATTTTATACATTTAACACTTCTTCTGATAAGGGGGGTCCATGTACCAAAAAAAAACCCAAAAGGCTAAAAGCCTTTTAAATAGCGTCTTCCTCACCTCTCTACTCCCAAATATCCTTCTCCACAATTGATCATTTTTTTAAACCTCTACTCTAGTTTTCTCTCTCACTTAGTGTCGTTTTGCACAAAGAAAGTTGCTTTTTCTCTCTCATACGCATCCAAGAACCTGTGTGTGTGATGTCGAACAGCTCTTCAACGCTGTGCAGAGAGGAGCAAAGGCCTGATGGGTGGTGGGCTAGATGCACCCGTGACTTGCCACCCTGACAAACTTCGCGTCACGCAGCATCTGGATTTGTGCCCTCACAACATTATAGACAGCGACATTGCTATGTCCTCAGTAGCCCTTGCTTGTATCTGGACACTTATTCTCAGAGTTATTTCATTCAGTGAATGTGTACCTAGGGGCAGGTGCTGTGCTGGGTCTGGGACACAGGAAGGAGACATACCATCTGCCTCCCAAAACTCATTTTGGTGCGCGGAACATCAGGGTTGGGCAGATGTCACTGTGACTTCCAAGGGAATGCCAAGTGGAGCACAGGGCCCACGGACAGTATTGCAGAGCATCTTGGGGTATTTTTACATAAAGTTTGGGCAAGGACTTTTTTTTCTTTTTTATGTAAAACAAGCGTGAATTTTTGAGCTGAAATAGGAGGCGTCAAAGAGCAGGGCCCAGCATAGAATAGTAGATGCTCAGTGAACACTTGTTGGGTGACTCGTGCTGTCCCCCTCCATCCAGACTGACTCACAGGTACCTCCCAGCCCCTCATCTGTCCATTCCCATCTAGCCTCTAGCTCCGCCCAGTCTGCCCTGTGTTCCATTCAACAAGATCCTTAACCGCTTGCCTCCCTCTTCTACTCAGGAAACCATTGCTGCTGCGATTGCCTGTGTTATGCCAGCGGAACCTGATGTCCCTGCTGATGGCTGTTAGGCCATTGCTCCCTGAAAACAGACTGCTCCCTCTGCTGCAGATCATACGGCAGGACCCAAGCCCTGACCCTGACGCCTGGCTCCAGGCCCTAGGGAAATTGCTGGAAAGGGACCTGGGTGTTGGGGTCTTCACTGAGGGAGCGTCCCCACTGTCTAAAAGGTGCCAGACGCAGCTCCAAGACCTGTGTAGGCAGCTGGGTTCCGGCGGCAAGAGGATGAAGTTGGCCCAGTCTCCAGATGCTGAAGAGGAAAAAGAGGAGGACAAGGACTCCCAGCGGCCTAGGAAACGTAGAAAGGAGCCAGAAGAAGAGCCTGCCAGTCCTGAGAGGGAAAGGGCCCCCAAAAGGTTCCGGTGTTTGGAAAGGGAAGAAGAAGGTTATGAGGAGAAGAGAGGGGGACATGAGCCTTTGGAAACTCCAGCAGGTGGAGGAGGCACATCACCTGTTAAGAACCAGCCTGTCGGGGCTGAGCCCACCGAGTCTGGTCAGAGTCTGGAGGATGTGAAGGGACCAGCTGAGAGTTTGGAGTTGCCGAAAGCTATCCAGGTACAAGGGTGAGGAGGCTGGGTTTAGAGTGGTCCTTCAGGTAGGGGGTTTATCCAGGGTAAAAGCCGGATGGGACACTTTCTCAATTTGTCTATGGAGCAAGGGGCCGGAGGATGGGGTTAAGGGCCTGTAGTCTGCTCTACAGATTCTGGGGAAGGGAGTTAAGGGAGGTGGGTAGCCCTTGATCTAATGATCTGTAATTTGAGTTTCAAGGGTACCAGTCAAGAGGAGTGGCTCCAGAGCCACCCAGCCTGCCCTCCCAGCCTGTGGCCTGGGTCTACCCGCATTGGGGTGGATGCAGAGAAGACAAGTCTAGACAGCTGGATTTGCATGGCCTATGCCTACTTTGAATTCTTAAGCTTTTTTCAAGGCTTAGGCTTTATGTGCTTGGCACTCTTGTGTCATCTTTGCCTACTAGCTCCCACCAATTTGGGATCTTCTCAGGAGAGGGAGCTGAGGCTGGGCTCGAAGCCGTTCCCTACCTGTGTGGGTAGGGAATTGGCAGTGACTGACTCTCCATTACAGGACCAGGTTCCCAGGCTGCAGAAGCTGCTCAAGACCTTTGGGGAGGTGAGTGGCCCTCCCCTGTTCACCGTAGCCCCACACCTTCCTTGAGGCAGCCATGCTCAGGGAGGAGCCAGTGCAGTGAGGCACAGGGCATTTGGACTGGAGGTCCGAGGGCAGTCACTGCAGGGCATTTCCAGGCCCAGGTACAGATATTTTGTCTGGTAGCACCTTCCTGAGTCCTCAGCCACCTACTCCAGTCAAAGGGGTGGCCTCAGTGACTTGTCATCAAGCACTCTGCCAGCCCTAACACAGGGTTTGCCTTCCCAGGGGTTGGAGGGGCTGGAGAGCGGCCCCCCAGCTGAACTGCGACTTCTCCATGAATGCAGTCCCAGCCAGGTGAGTCCAGAAAGATTGCCTGGACCTGAGGTTACATCCCCTCTCCCCAGCTCTTCCATTTAACTTCATGTTTCCCTGCCTCATGTGGCATTTCAGTAGGGGATTTTTTTTTTTTTTTTTGGTCTCTTGTCTCTCAAGCGAGGGTCACCCTGAGTGGTTTTTTTAACCCTTGACTCCACCCGGGAGGCAGCTCTCCCAGCCTTACCTGCCCCTAGGTGTCCTTGCCCTACCCCTCTGCTGCCCAGTTGGCTTGAGACAGCCTAGCAGAGGCACATGGAATGTCCCCCTGTCCTCCCTCCTACCTGGCAGATGGACCTGCTCTGTGCCCAGCTGCAGCTCCCCCAGCTCTCAGACACAGGCCTTCTGCAGCTCTGCACCTGGCTGCTGTCCCTTTCACCAGATCTCAGCCTCGGCAGTGCTGCGGTGCTGGCCAGGAACCTCTTCCTTGGACGGGTAGGTGCACTGGGTGCACTCAGACTGCCAGGCCCAGGCGGGGAGAGCCTGAGCCCTCAGAAGGGTGATGTTTGGGAGGGGGTGTTCCAGCTTTGCAGGCATCGGGCCTGTCCAGGCCGCCTGGGGCAAGAGAAGGGCATGGGCCCCTGGGCCCTCTACCCCCATGGTATGTAATTCCTCCTTGAACTTCAGACCATTCCAGAAGGATTTGGGCTCAGGGATTTGGGACCTGGGGAAGAGAGCTATGTGTCTTTTCCAGTGGGTGGTCCATGTGAGTCCTAGATAAAAGAACTTTTTCCCTCTGTAACATATATCACTATCTGAAATATGTATCTGCTAAACATTTATGGAAGGCAAGAAGAAATGAATTTGATAGTATTTTCCTCTCCATTGGCTGTAGATCCTCTCCTTGACTTCCTCAGCCTCCCGCCTGCTCGCAACTTCCCTGACTTCCTTCTGTGCCAAGTATACCCACGCCGTCTGCAGAGCCCTGCTAGGCCCCATTCTCCGGTCCCCAGAAGCAGGTAATTCTGGAAACAGCCTTCACCCCAGCGTGACCCTGGCAGGAGCTGGGCATCCAACAAGTAAAACCGGTTACTTCCCTGATGGTGCCCTATAATGAACTGAGCGTTCTGTTCTCTGCAGTCCCACCCTCTCCTGCCACTTTGTCCAGACTTTCCCCATCTGCTGTCCCCTGCCCAGGTCCCGCTCAAACAGAGTTATTGTGTTGCCTTATGAAGGACGAGGCCCTGGAGCCAGACAGGCAGCTTCTAGTCCTCGGGTGAGTGTACAGGCCCCCACGCCCCCTCCCACCTTCTCCCCCTGACCAGTCTGCTCCCGGCTTGTGGAGTTGGAGCCCCTGGGCACCAGTCCCTGTGCCCAAAAGATTGGAGGCACCCCTCCTGCTGCTGTGTGAGCCTGACCGGTGCCTTCCCCCCTGGGCTGTGCAGTCTGCTGTTCTGAGCCCTTCCCAAGCCCAGGGTTTCAGTCTTCCTGCCTGGTGCCTTGCAGGAGGCAGGGAAGAGGCTGGTGGTCCCTGCTGTTGAGTAGTTCACAGTGTAGTTGGAAGTTGGCTCTGTAGTGAGGAGCACTGGCTTGGACTCAGACGCTAAGACATGGTTATAAATCTCAACTTTGCTTTTTTTTTAATGTGTAATTCAATAAGAAGCTCTTGGAGCTTTATTTGAAAAATGGGCATAATACTCACTATGTAGGATTTTTCTAGATATTAAATGTGATAATTCATACAAAGATCTCAGTACAGTACCTGGCACTTGGTAAATGCTAAGAAATTGTTATTTAATTGGAATTAAAAAATTGGGGAGTCAACACAATTTTAATTTCTACACAGACATGTAGAAATAATGAGTAGGCAAGACCCCATTGGATACCAACATGAAATGCAACATGCTGAGTATAATATGAGTAGGGGACAGTCTCAAAAATAATATTAGCCTCCACATACTGAGCACTGTCTTGGTGCCTTAGGTTCATTATCTCAGTTAGTCTCCATGCCGCCTGGTGAGGTGGGTGCTGCCGTTGCCTTAAAGGTGCTCCAAGAGATTAAGGGATGTATCCAGAGGTCACATGGTGAGCAAGAAAGGCTTGGGATCATACCCAAGTCTGGCACCCCAGGAAGCCACGCTGTCTGTGTGACATGTCGCCTTTCCAGACTAGCTGAGGACCTCGCGGGGGACAGGAAGCAGAGCTGGAGAGGACCCCGCTGTGGGTGGAGCCCCATGGGGAAGGCTCCCCTGCTGCAGGAGGCCTGGTGTGTGTCATCCACCCATCATTAGGTTCCCTGGGTCACCCTCAGCTTTTGTACTCAGGGTGTGTTCTTGACTCCTGGTTATTTTTTAGGGGACCCTCATACACCCCACTGCTAAATCCATTGTCCGCTCCCAGGGTCTTGGGTTGTGGCCTTCCCAGCACTGAATATGGGCTCTGCCACAGTGGCTACAGGGCAGCCAGTAGAGTTGGGGGGTCTGACTCCTTCCTCTGGTGACAGGGATCTTGGCCTTGCCCTGCCTTCAGGTAGGAGCAGTAGATACCCAGGCTTGGGTGAGGCCAGGCTTAACCAACAAGAGGCCCTGTGCTTTATAGACAGATCTTGGAGTTGCCCTGGAAGGAGCAGACTTTCTTGGTGTTGCAGTCACTCCTGGAACGGCAGGTGGGCAGGGTGCCTTGGGGAAGAGTGGATGAAGAAGTGCTGTAGGGCTGTGGACGGGTGGGGGGAGGGCATGAGTTTCTGAACCTTTCTGTGATGGAGGGGCAGGGAGGACTGCTGCCCTACAGCAGGGGGCGGGGACAGCCCTACAGTCCCTGCCTAGGCTGTGGCTGTGGGAGAGTCCTGGGGCTTAAAGGCTGGTAGTGGAGAGCTAACTGCCTGGTAAATCCCATCAGTGCCTTTTACAGGCTCTGGAGCTTTGGGGATGGACTGTCTGATGTGTGTGTGTGTATACATTTAGTTTTATCTCTGAAGAGGTAATACATTTATATGTTCACAATTTTGGAAGCTCAAAAAGATAACAGTGATATTCCCCAGCCACAGATTCCCCTCTCCAGGGTGAATGGTGTTATTAGTTTGGGGGGATTCCTCCCAGAGATGCTCTGTATCTACGAGGATGCAGGTATAAATGCACCCTTCCTTCGCTTTTTACACAGATGGTAACAGCAAGCTTGGTGCTCTGTAGTTTGCTTTATTCACTTAACATTATATTTTGACAATTTTTCCATATTAGTACCTAAACTTCTGCCACATTTGTTCATAGCCTAGGTGTTGACCTAACCTCATTATGCCTCAGCTTCCTCATCTACTAAAGGGAGTGATCATAGCACCCACCACAAAAGACTGTGGTGAAGTTTAAATGGGGTAATTGGTGTAAAGTGCTCAAGTGTGCCTGGTACGTAATAATGTTCATTAAGTTATTATTATGAAGAGCTGTTCTTATGCTGGCAGTACTACTCCTGTGTATCTGTAACCACTAAGCCAGGCTAGGGATCCCTGGCCTCCCTTGATTCTAATCTGAACCTTTGCAAAGGTTACCACGATTTTCTGAGACCTAGGTGCCAGCGTATGTGTGTTATCTCATTTAATCCTTTTCACAGCCTTCAGAGTTAGATTTTATGAGTCCCATTTTATAGATGTAGAAACTGAGGCTTAGTTCGGTTAAGTGATCTGCACAGGGTCACCTAGTTAAGAAGTGGTGGGCCTGGGAATTAACCGTGAGTCCTTTTCTTGTGTTACTGTCTTAAATCCCAATGTGTGCAGGTGGAGATGACCCCTGAGAAGTTCGGTGTGTTGATGGAGAGGCTCTGTAAAGAGGGGCTGGCAGCCACCACGTCCATGGCCTATGCCAAGCTCATGCTGACAGTGATGACCAAGTATCAGGCTAGTGTGAGTGCTGACAGGGCCACAAGGGCTGGTCCTGCTGCTCTGAACCTGCATGACGGTATACATGTGTTTGCCAGGGAGAAAGCTTTGAATGTTAGCCAAGGAACCCACAAGTTCAAGCCCAGGACTAGCCGTGAGAGCTGAGGTCGGGATGAGGTTGGCTAAAACACTGAGAGCTGATACTTGCATAGCTCTTGCTATATCTCAGGAACTGCTCTAAGTCCTTTACCAGTGTTAACTCGCTGGTTCCTTACATGCCTTAGCACTATGAGAAGATATTATTAGCTCCATTTTATAGAAAAAGAAACTGAGACTCAGAATGGTTAAAGTAACTTGTCCAAGGTCACCTTGCCAAGCTGTGGTAGCATCTTACAAAAGGTCCTGTAGGGTATGGTGAGGAGCTTGGACTTTATCTTTTTTTCCCTAAGATTTTATTTATTTATTTATTTTTGGAGAGAGGGGAAGGGAGGTAGAAAGAGAGGGAGAAAAACCATTGTGTGGTTCCCTCATGTGCACCCCATACTGGGGACCTGGCCCACAACCCAGGCATGTGCCCTGACTGGGAATCAAAGTGGCGACCCTTAGGTTCATAGGTCAGCGCTCAGTCTACTGAGCCACACCAGCCAGAGCTGGACTTTTATCTTGAAGGCCAGGTATTCCTGGCTGTGGACTCTTTTTACCTTTTTCTTGAGAGTCACAGACCCATTTGATGATTTGATAAAAGCTATAACTCCTCCCAGAAAAAAAAGTGAATACCTGAATGCACGCCTTGTGAACACATATCAGGAGGCTCCTGGACCCTTTAGAACAGATTCTGGAAGGACCTCCAATAGGAGGCCTCAGGAGGTATCCCAGGGCCTTCAGCTGGTCAGGTTTGCATTTTGTAAAGAAACCTCTGGCCTCTTTAAGGAGCGGGGATTAGAGAGTGAAGATACAGGATTGACACCTATTGAGGTTGTTGCAACAGGTTAGGGAAGGAAAAGTGGCCCATAAGGAAGGTGGCATTTGCAGTGACTGTCTCTGAACACAGTCTCCTCATCTGTAACTAGGAGGAATTTATGAACTAATGTGCATAATGTACTGCCACATAGTAAGCACTCAGTTGTCAGTTGTTATTAATATGGCTGACTTAGCAAGTTGTGCAGTTAGTACCCAGGTCCACCTGAATCCAAAGACTTTGCTTCACTATAGTGAAATAATGGGGTTCAATTGCTCAGGGAGTCATTGCTTCCCTCCATCATCCTTAAGTCCTAGATTCCTCCCCTTTTTGAGTAGAGCCCAGGGTCAGATGGGAGGGGAGAGATCAGCAGCTGGAGTCCTGACACAGTTCTTCCTTCTCCCTAGATCACTGAGACCCAGAGGCTGGGCCTGGCCATACCCCTATCACTCAACACCACTTTCCTGAGAAAGTCCCTGCAGGCCTCGCTGAGACATCTGGCCCCCTGACCTTCCACCAGGGTCCACTCTCCTAGAGCTCTGTCACCAGCTTCCTGAAGGATACTTCTGCCCTCAGCCCCTCTCCCCACCCCTTGCCTGAGCCTGTCCGTCCCAGGCATCAACTGCCTGCTGTTCCAGGCGGCAGAGAGGCCATCTTGCCCTCCCAAGCAGCAGCACCAGCGTGCCGGGCTGAGGGGGCTGGATTTCCAAGGGCTGCCGACCCTGGCTCACTCCTTGTCACTTCTACCTCAGAAACTTTCCTGTGAGCCCCAGTAGGATCACAGCAGACACAGAATAGACCAAGATGCTCTGGGGGCCCTGTGTGCTCAGCATGCGCTCCAGTGTGTGTTGTGATCCTTTGTACTGTTCAGGCCTGAATAATGATTTATCAGTGGTGTTTAATAAAAAGTGAAAAACTCAACAGTGTCTTACTAGAAGCAGTCTCTGCATTCCTATTAACTCTGTTGAAAGTCAACAGTTATTTGTTGAAAGTCAACTCACCAGCACCCCTTGCCACCATTCCACCCTGCCCAGTGACAAGGAGCATTTTTCCCTAGAGAAATGTTCTGTAGAGGAAGGTGGTAGAGTTCTGAGGTTTATTCATTCATATTCTGTGAGGCAGGTAATGTGTGATACCACTTACCCCAACCCTATTAGCTGTCTGTTGAATGGGGGAGATGGATAGCAACCAAGGTGTGTGTGTGTGTGGGGGGGGGGGGCAGGCTTGAAGTTGGGAGTGACACGGTCGAGTTGGGGAAAGCTTTTCTGTAGAAGACATTTGAGTACGGATAGAGGGGTCCGGTTACTGTGGGCTGAAAAGAGGATGTGGCCTATGGAACATGAAAAGGCAGAAAGGCTGTGCAATATTGTGGGTGTGGGTGTTTTACACCTATAGCACCTGGGTAGGCACCTTGGTCATAGTAAACACAGGTAGATGTTACTGAAGCAACTGTGAGGGTCAAGAACACAACTTTTATTGACATGCCCCTTCTCACAACTCCCCCGTATTAGAGCAAGATGACTGACAGAGAGAGGTCAGGAGATATGTGGGGACGGTAGGAGGAAGTGGGCAGAAGTCTGAAGATAAACGTGCAAGAATTGCACCCTCTCACCCTCTCAGCGGCCTAATATATGTGACTTCTGAAGCTCAAGCCCTGGACCTAGCCTCTTTCTTACGGGCCTGGGAAGCTGCTGCCGCAAACGAGGACGGAGTCTCAACGTGCGGCAGAGCATGCAGGACTGCGGCGTCCGAAGTGGTTCGGGCGCTGATCTAGCGGTGCCAGGAGCGGCAGCGCCCTCCAGCGGCCGCAGTCGCCGGAGCTCCCGAAGATGAAGGGGCCAACCGCAATCTAGAGGGAAGCCGCAAGGCATTTCTCGCGAGAACAAGAGCCCTATTTGAACGCATGCGCGAGTAGAGGTAGTTCTTTTTCCGGTTTCTGCTGCGTAAGGAGTCATGAGGTGAGTGATATTTAGGGTCCTATCTGTTTTCATCCACGTCTTCAGGCGCCTCCGTGGGGAAGGAGACCCCATGGATGACACTGGGGGGTCCCTGCCCTTTATTGCTGCGGCGCATTTCTTGCCGGTCGTCCGTCTGCAGCACCCGTGTTCAAATTCTTGCGCCAAGCCCGGCCGCCAGTGGGGTCCCTGTTTCCCGGGGCCCGCATCTGGTTCTCGAACCCAAATCTAACCTGGTGTCCGCAAACCCCCATTCGCTAAGTCTGAGGTGGCTCTCCACGTGGAGGGTGTTGCTCCGCGGCACCCGGGTCCTGAGCGCGGGTCTTGATTCTGTCTCACAGCAGCAAAGTTTCCCGCGACACCCTCTACGAGGCGGTGCGGGAAGTCCTGCACGGGAACCAGCGCAAGCGCCGGAAGTAAGCGCGGGCCTCCGCGGGAGGGCAGCCCCTGGGGGGTTTGGGGAGACGCGGGCCGCAAGCTGACTTGTTACTTTCTAAGGTTTTTGGAGACGGTGGAGTTGCAGATCAGCTTGAAGAACTATGACCCCCAGAAGGACAAACGCTTCTCGGGCACCGTCAGGTTGGCACCGTTCTGACCCCACCCAGCCCTCAGTGCCCCGGTGTCAGGCTCTCGTCTCGAGGCTGCCGTTGAGTCCGAGGGGAACAGGCACACGCGGCACTGAAGTGCCTGGGTAGTCCAGACCCCCTGCTCCGTGCAGGCGCGGCTGGACGGACCCCCACCCTGGGTCTTAAAACAAGAGGGGAGGCGTGGGGAGGCCTTGGCCGAGCCCGCCGGCTAGTTTGAGAAGCCAGACTAGTTGTCGGTGAACGTGGACGCTCTGGGTAAGGCTCAGTGGCTGCTGCTGTCCCAGACCCGTTCACCTGCTGTGCGATTCAGAGCCGAGGGTGACCTGTCCTGTCCCCACAACCGCAGGCTTAAGTCCACCCCCCGTCCCAAGTTCTCCGTGTGTGTTCTGGGGGACCAGCAGCACTGCGATGAGGCCAAGGCCGTGGACATCCCCCACATGGACATTGAGGCGCTGAAGAAACTCAACAAGAATAAGAAACTGGTCAAGAAGCTGGGTGAGTGTGGGGATGCGGTGTGGACGGACAAGTGGTAGAAAAGAGGCACTTCCACCATACGGACTTTAAAATAAGGAGGGTGGAATTGTGACCAAAAGGGTGTGCTGTGGTTGGTAAACTTGAGTTAGGAAAGCTCAATTTATATTTGTTTTGAGAATTGAATTTTACTATAAGGGAGGGGAGCTGGGTGGTGGTTTTTCCTAAACAGGTGAGATCTGTTGACTAGTCGAGTGCTGGTGTCCTGAATTGTAATTTCCACTTCAAGCTCCAATTTAATTTCTTTTGAATCTGTGCTGTAAACATTTTACAGGTAGGAAAGGGATACCCAAGTTGTCATATAGTGAGGAAGTAGAGAGGTGGGATTAACCAGAGTGTGATTTTCCATTGCAACATGGGATATGGGTCATCCTGGGCTTTTGGTGCGAGGTTTTCTGTGAATGTTGGACCAGTAAATGTCCAAAGGGTGGGGATGATTACATTGGAGTGAGGAGAGGATTCAAGAGACTTGGTACTTGCATGGGGGGAGAGTGCTGGTTAGGGGCCACTTCTGTGGTTGGTTTCCAGAACCCTGTGTGGAAGTCAGCCTTTCAGGGCTCTAAGCATGCAATGCATTACTCCCTTTACTAGCCAAGAAGTATGATGCCTTTTTGGCTTCGGAGTCTCTGATCAAGCAGATCCCACGAATCCTGGGCCCAGGCCTGAATAAGGCTGGCAAGTTCCCTTCCTTGTTGACCCACAATGAGAACATGGTGGCCAAAGTTGATGAAGTCAAATCCACAATTAAGTTCCAGATGAAGAAGGTACGGAGGTCTGGCTGGATTCATGGGTTCAGCCATGGTAACAGGTGGGAGGGTCCTGGAGCTTGCCCACATTCTCTAAATAAGAGCCCCGGTTTGCATTTTTCTGATACTTAAGATAGCCCCCATATTCCCTGGCCTGGGGCTAGAGGGTGGGCCATCTGCCTTGTATATGTTTCCAGTCTTCCCATGTTCTCTTCATCTAGATACCAACCTGTGACTGTCTTCTCCCCACAGGTGCTGTGTCTGGCAGTGGCTGTTGGCCACGTGAAGATGACAGATGATGAGCTTGTGTACAACATCCACTTAGCTGTCAATTTCCTGGTGTCACTACTCAAAAAGAACTGGCAGAACGTCCGGGCTTTGTATATCAAGAGCACCATGGGCAAGCCCCAGCGTCTGTACTAAGGCACAGCTTAATAAACCATACTGGCACCATTAGTTGTGTCTGCTTGTGACTGGGGCGGGGGGGGGGGGGGCAGGTGCTCTGGAAGTTGAGGTTACGTACCACAGCATAGTGATGGGTACCCATTTTACCCATACTGTCCTCAAAACTGCAGTCTTACTCTGATCTCAGGTGTCCGTGACCTGTGGTGGTATAGTTGCTAACTAGGACTGAAGCTTTCCTAATAACCTTCCTGGGCAGGACTCCAGCCTCTGTGCTCCTGGAGCTCACTAGTGGAGACGCTTCGTACTGAGGATCTTGACTCAGCTCTCAGCGGCATGCTTAATGTGTGCCTTGTGTATTACGTTCTTTGTATACGGTTGGTTGGTTGGTTTTTTGTTTCTTACTCCGAATCCTGCACTTGGGATCTTGGTCTGTAGGGTCACAGATTTGTTACAAATGCATATTGGGTTCCTTGATGCTTCTGACAGGAGCAGTCCACAAACCCTGAGAAGTTGGTCTAATATTTGCTTGCCTGACCATACATTGAATACCCTATGTTTAAGGTACTGTTTTATTGTGTAATATTTTTAGGAAAATACAATGTATTTTGTGGACCCTGCTGATCTTTTTTTAGGGGAGTAATAGGTGGGATTGGGCTATGGAAATCTCCAGGCTCTGCCCTCTTCCCCGACTGGAGGGATTTGTGCTGGGAAAGTGGCTTGCTGTACTGGCCAACAACTGTGACTTTGGTAAGTAAAGTCAATTGGTCATCCCACTGATTTTAATCGAGCTGAAAGGCTAACCCAAAGCATAAAGAAAAATGCACCTTCTCAAAACAAGATTTGTCTGGCCTTTTTAAAACTAAACTATAAGGTTCTCACCAAAGACCTTGAGCAGTTTCTTTACCATTTAAGCATTTGCAAAATTGGCAGGTAAAATAGCTACATGGAATCAGATGAGCCATGAATTTTGGTTCTGGAGGTAGGCCTAGCTCTGGTCTTGAAGCATTAGGAGTAATGGAATAGGCTTGTTGAGTGATGTTCCCTTACCTAAGGAGGGGGAAACGGCTATAAAATTAGGGCCCGATTTTATTGAAGTTTGTGCATAGTAGAGATGGAAGCTTATGTAAAATTTGACCATATTTAACTCAGTGAAATAATTTTTATTTTGGAATTTCTGAAGTTCTATAATCTGTCATCAATGTGGAGGGCAATACTTAAAAATAGGGTAAGAAAGCCCTGCCTGGTGTGGCCCAGTGGATTGAGTGCTGGCCTGCAAACCAAAGGGTCATAGGTTCAGTCCCCAGTCAGGGCATATTCCTGGGTTGCAGGCCAGTTCCCAGTAGGGGACACATGAGAGACACCACACATTGATGTTTTTCTCCCTCTCTTTCTCCCTTCCCTTCTCTAAAAATAAAACCTTTTAAAAAAAAGTAGAGTAAGAAAACTCTTGATGACTAGGAGAATGTAATACAAAATTTACAAGTGTGAGTATGTTTTACGCTTTGTCTCTACCATGAAACCCCTTATAGGGCACTGAATACAGTTTAAAAATAGAGCCATGAGGCAAAGGCACAAAACAGGTGGGCCCCTATCTGCACCTGTGACGGCCCCTCCCGAGGGCCTTGATGGGCACCCGTGTGCAGTCCACCTCTGAGCCTAAGACGAGGAAGACATCTGCGCCTGCAGTGGTCCTGTGGCAAATGTCACAGTGGAGCCAAGGATTTCTGAGGTCTCTTGTGACCTCACATGCATGCTCTGTGGGTGCAAGATGGCCGGCCATGGGGTCACCTGTGTGGGCTGAAGCCCCCCGACTGCCCGAGTTTGAATTCCAGGAGACTTATGAGCCTGTTGAGCACATCTGTTGACTTCTCTGAAACCAGTTTTCTGTGGGAAAGTGCAGGTGAATACTCGGGTGGTACTACCTGAGATAGCAGTACTAACTTAAAAGCATTGCGGGCTCTGTGTAGTGCCAGACACCACTCTTGACAGCAGTGCTGAAATGGTGACTTTGTATAGTGTGCATAGTGTGCTGGACCTGATACACAAATGTCAGCGGGGTTTAGGACAGACCGAGTGACAACGATCCGGAGGACACCTCATTAATGTCCTGATGAATGGGGAGAACGAAACCCGTCACACCCTCTTGCCTGAAGTAAGCCAAGGAATAAAATCCTTAAAAAGTAGTTTTGGAAACTGTAGAACTACTTGGGAACTCGAATCTGAATTCAAATCAAACCTACTCCACTTTATAAATCTGAGCCCTGTGTATTGGGGTGAGAGTCCTTACAAGCCAACTGTATTAAACACTGACCACTTTGAGCCGGGTTCTGGGGAATCTTCAGGGACACAGGGTCTGCCCTCAAGAGCCCCACAGCACCTTGATCAGGAGAAAAGGGAAGTGGGCAGTGGAAACGGGGAAGAGAACACGTGGAGGGACGGACAGGCTGTTTCTATTGCAAATGAGGGTTGAGCTACTTTCATCAAGTCCCAGCCTGTAGTATGATGGTCCAAAGCTCAGCGTGCACTTGAATTAGAATTTAGCATTCAGATCCCTGGGGGCCCCAGTTTTCCACCAGTTGTGCTACAGGGAAATGAAGCACCTCATGACCCCCCAGGACAGTGCTCTGGCTTGACTGGAATTGACAAAACCCGTCACCCTTCCCCTTTCCCTGGAAACTTCAGAACAGAGAAGCAGAGGAACAGGATAGCCAGAATACAGATCGCTTCTCTGGGCTCCAGCTTTGGCCCTTCCTTCCGTACAGCTTCCCCCAGCGTCTGATGGGAGAACCACTTCCTGAGAGGCCTGGGCGTTGGGCTCACAAGATCCTTCTTATCCTGGTTCCTTCCAGACTTTGGAACCTCAAGAGTAGTCATCACCCACTTTGTGTTACATTTGTGATTGGGGGCAGGGGGTAGAAAAAAGAAAGCAAGGAGGCTGGCTATACTTCACTCCTTGAGTTTTCTGCACGAGAGACCTACATTATTCTTAAAGAAGTTACCTGAAGGCTGATTACGCCAGGAGACCAGCGAAGGCAACAAGCCCCATTCGATGATGATGCTTCAAGTGTAGAATAGATGTGATCACTTAGTGCAGAGATTGTATCTTGCATTCAGCCCCAGGCCTGGGACATAGTGGGTCCTTTACAAACCAATTTCTGCCTCCAGGTCCTCCTTCCACCTGGCTGGAGCTCCAAGGTACCCTCCCCATTCTTCTAGTGACAGTCTGGAGTCCCTCCAGTGAGGTGGACTAAGACAATGGCCACCTGATTACTTAAGTAGTATGCCAGGAGCACTGGACTCGGAGTCAGGCAGACTAGGTGTTGTCACTGACAGGCTGAGTGAGAAGAGTAACTTCAGCTTGTTTCCCACCTGCAAAACTGGAGATTGGACCAGAATGAACTAGAAGACTCTAGATGCTACAGCAGGGTTGCCAGATTTAGCAAATGAAAATACAAATGCTGCCCTGGTTGGTGTGGCCCAGTGAATTGAGCACCAGACTGCAAACCAAAGAGTTGCTGGTTCAATTCCCAGTCAGGGCACGTGCCTGGGTTATGGGCCAGGTCCCCATTAGGGGGTGCTGGAGAGGCAACTACACACTGATGTTTCTCTCCCTTTCTTCCTCTTTTCCCCTCTCTAAAAACAAATAATGAAATCTTTAAAAAAATAAGGAAAGTACTGATGCCCACTTAAGTCTGAATTTCTAACAATGCATGTCCACTGAGGATCCAGCCTCCCTGCCCCCCACTCCTGCTCTGAGGTCCCTGCTGTGTGCTTCTGCAGGCAGGCAGGTGGGACGTGGAATCTGGCTTCCCCTGCCGGCAACCATCCACTGGGGAGCGCACCCACGCTCCTTGAGGCCTTTCCTCCTGAGCCAGAGGGGACTGGAAGGTGAGAGCAGTAGTAACTGTGGAGGCTGTGGGGGGGTTAGCGGGGGCCCACTGCAGCAGCTGTGACCTTGGGCAAGTCACTTTACTTAAACCAAGCTATTTCATTCAGGTAACTGGTCCCCCAAAGTACAAAGACGCCAAAGGTGGTCTTTAGTTTGAATTTTAGATCATAAGGCAAAATAAATAGCTTTTCTGTTAAAAAAAAAAAAAAGAAAGGAAGAGAGAGACAAAGCAAGAAAAGCTCAGGCAGCTCTGGGCACAGTTCACTGCTCAGCTCGTGGCGCGAGGGGCTTGCAGCTGGATAGCTTTCACGGACCCAGAATCATGCCTGTTCTGAGTATCGGTAGGGCTTGGGGTACCCCCAGCAAAGATGGGGCAGGGTGACACACCAGGACCTAACCTAGGAGCGCCCATCTGAAGCTGTTCCAACCCAGAAGTCTGGCACATGACTCACCCACAAACAAATAACTTTAATTCTTTTTTGGAGCAGGCCTTGAGGGCGCCTGCCCCAGCCCTGTGCCACATTTATGATATAACCCATCACAGCTGGATTTAAAAAATACACAAAAAATATATAATACACATTATAAAACCTAGGTTGGGTTTGGAGGTGGCCTGAGCGATATGCAAACTGTGAGGATCTTCGGGAAGCTCAGAGCAGGGTGGGGTGGGACAGGGCGGGGTAAGGGAGGGAAGGACACAGTACTTCATGTGAAACTCATAAATACCTGCGGTTGAGGGGCCGGGGTGCTGGGAAGAGGCAGCAGGCAGGGCTCACCTTCAGTCCCAGACCTGGGTCTGGGGGCTGCTGCTCCAGGCGGGGAGACTGAGGTGAGGAACAACACAGGCAGCGGCACCCACCGAGGGTGAACCACAGTCTCAGGCAAGACAAGACATCAAAGCCTTTGCTGGCCCTTGTCCCTGGGCCACGGGTCCGCCCAGAGGCTGGGTCTCCATCTTCCTGTATGACCCTCCGGCCTATTTCTGAGCTTGGGCTTGTCCCCCGGGAGCCTTCCCCCACCAGGAGGCTGCTAGGGGACTTGACAAAGGATCTGGGCCAGGGAGGCTTGGGGGAGGTCGAGCAGGAGGCCGCCGAGGCCCCCCGATTAGATTGCGGGCTGACAGAGGGTGCTTGACATGTGCCGAGTACCTGCTGCTCCTCTTTTGTGCCTGGTCAGAAGCAGCTTCTCCTCCTGCCAAGGGGTCCCCAACCCAGCGGGCCCCAGTCCCTGGGTGCAGCCTCTCCCCAGCCCCCTGGGCCCAGTGCGCTGCAGGGAGGTAGTGAAAACCTGGGCTCTGGGGGCAGGCAGTCCCGGACGAGAGCTCCAGCTCTGCCCGCCACCACACGGTTCCTCATCCAAGACACCGGGACCCACCCTTGCCTGGCAGGGTCTGAGGGTGCACCAGGCACACAGGGGGTCTGGCACACAGCCAAGTACAAAGAGTGTGGGCCCTTCTCTTCTTAGCCTGACCCCACTTCCACACTCCTCTCTGGCCTGTGCTCCGCCTCCCCTCGTCTTCCCTCACCCACCCATCACACTCCCCTGAGGGGCCAGTGGCCATGTACACCTGAGCCCAAAAGTGTCCTCCCATTCATCTGAGGCTGGGCAGAACTGGGTGATGGCGTTGGCATCCCAGCTAGGCTGCCCCACCTCTGAGCTCCCCTCTCTTCTCCCACAGTTAAAGCGCAGAACAGTGGCAGGGAGTGTGTGCTCTGGGGTAACGTGGGGAGGCCTCCCGGGTCCTGGTCCTGAGGCCTGGCAGGCAGATGAATCCTCAGCCCTGGACCCCCGGGCACGCCAGGCAGGTGTGTGGAAAAGATGTTTGTCCTGAATCCCGGTGGTGGGGGTGGGGCGCAGCCTAGTCTTTGACAAGCTTGTAGACATGGTGCTGGGCCCCGTGCTCGCTGGTGGAGACTTCGAAGACAAAAGCAATGACAAGCAGGGTCTCCTGGGAGTCTCGGCTCGTGACCACCTGTGGGCCGGGCAGGAAGATTCAGGTCAGGCCGCACAGGGCCAGGGGTGTGGGGGCTGAGCAGACCCTGCTCCCCTCTGCGGCTCAGTCTCTTCCTCTGAACAATGGGTCTGGCCACCTCCACTTTCAGGCCCCTGTGCCTGGCACCCTTCTGGGACCCCTATAACCCTTGCATCACCCTCACCTGCAGGATGGTGAAGTTCTCCAGCACACTGTTCATCATGTACTTCTCGGGCAGGTGTTTCAGCTTGTGGATGAAGTTGATCATGTACTCACACATGGGTGAGCGGTGGATGCGGTACACGAAGCGCCCGTTCTCCAGCCTGGCGTACTCGGTCTGCAGAGAAGAGGACGGCGTCGCTAAGCCAGCCTGCTCCCAGCCTCCTTGCTCAGCCGCCCGCCCCAGGCCCTCACTCACCTCCACCTTCTCCACCACCTGCTTGCCAAAGGAGCACACCTTGGTGGAGACACTGATGGTCATGCTATCGGCTGAGCTGTACTGGGAGCTGACCCCGTAGAAGGCTCCCGGGCCCTCCTGGATGGTGCTGTTGAGGTCCGCCTGGGTGGGGGGCGGGGTGGCATTAGGAACTGGAGGCCAGAGGGCGGTTTCCCGCTTCACCACATCACAGCCCCGCCCAAGCACCTACCTCCGCACAGCCCACAGGCCATGGGGAGAGAGGTGGTCAGTGGGGTGCGCCCGGGCGGATGGCACATTCTGGGGGAGAGGCTGTTTGGAGCGGAGAGGGGCCAGGGCAGCTCACCCAGAACTTGACAAGGAAGAAAGCATTAGGGGGGCCCTTCTCGTAGAGCTCCTTCAGTCCACCCTTTTTCTCAGGGAACTTGTCGTAGATCTGACGCACATCCACTGCCTCCAGGGGTGGGTCCGAGAAGGCGGGGTTGGTCTGGCCGATGTGCACAAACAGGTGTTTGCTGTACTGTGGGGAGGGCGCAGCCCGGGTCAGCACCTGAGCGCACAGGCCTGGGGTGGCTGGGGAGGGGCTGCAGAGACAACTGTCCCGTGCTTCCCCACCCGGTGACCCCGAGCAGTGGCGTTGGACCACCGTGCTGGGGTCTCCCCTCGCCTCACCCCCGAACACATTACCGTGTCAGGGTCTCGCTGCACCTCCATGAAGGCGGAATACTCGAGGAGCCGCAGCCGGGAAGAGGCGATGGTGCGATCCTGCCACACCGGCACAGAGGCAGCAGCTGCAGGGAGCGGGGCCAGGGGCTCGTAACCTGGGGATGAGACGGGCCCTCAACGCCATGGGTGCGTGCGCGGTTTTGTACAGACCCGCCCCCACCTGTGCAGGGCCTTTGCGCAAACTAGAAAACGGCACCCCTTCTGGGCAGGAACCCTGGCTGGATTGTGACCCCCTGGCCAGGCGTCCCTGTATAGTGTACGACCTGCGTGACTATGCCATGGGGGCACTAGTGGCACACACCCGTGGATTTTTTCCTTTGTCACTTCACATGTGTTCTAACAGAAAATACAAACAAGTCGAAAGGGAAAAATAAAAATGATCCAGAATCCTGCCCTGGCTGGGTTACTTGCTCAGTGGATTGAGTGCTGGCCTGGAAACCAAAGGGCCACTGGTTTGACTCTGGGTCAGGGTGTGTGCCTGGGTTGCCGGCCAGGTCCCTGGCTGGGGCCATGCTAGAGGCAACCAATCAGTGTTTCTCTCCCTCCTCTCCCACCCTTCCCCTCTCTCTAAGAATTAAAAAAAAAAAAATCCAGAATCCCAACACCTAGAGAGAGCGAAGCTTTGTTCAGCCATTGGTGCATTTCCTTCTAAGGAATTTTACATACATACAACCCGTAAACATGATAGTGTTGCTTGGCGGTGTACTTGTAGCACAGCGTGAACCAACACTGTGTAAGGTAAGGGGGCTATTCCTGGCCTGCCCCTCCCTGCAGGTGCAACCCACTCCCCTCCCCCTGCACGTGCACATGCGCACACGGCGGGGCCCAGCTCTTCCGAGATGAGCGCAGGTGCCGAGGGAGGGACAGGTGGTGGTGGCAGCCTCCTGGGGAACTTACTGCTGAGTGTCGGTGGCAGGGGCGGCTGGATGGGGTAGGCTGGCTGTGCAAAGGGCTTGATGCTGCAGACAGGAGCACAGCCTGGTTAGAGGGTCGCCCCTTTCCCACCTCCCACCTGGCCTAGTCACTTGGGGTCTCATCTGGGACCCCCACAGGGAGGGGCCAGCCAGAGTTTCTGCAGAGGCCCAGAAATGCATGCTGACAAGCTAACTCACAAGCTTTTGTTTTCTTCCCATTTTAACTTTTGTGAAATCCTGCTGAATCTCACAATTGATGTGCACGTTTAATATAGCATTTCAGCCCCACCTGAAGAGCTGTTCTCAAACTGAGGGTGTCTCTGGAAGAAAGTCACCTGAGAATTGAAGGAACCGCGTACCCTTGACTACTTCACTCACTGACTGAGATGAATTCAGAGACTAACTGAGTGAAAAATAATTGCAGGGTGGATGACAAGAGAATGAGTGGGTTGATGAATGAACCAACACGTGAGTGAATAGACAGGTGCGTGAGCTCTCTTACTGGCGCTCTCCATGCTGTTTTTGAGTTAAAACTTTGCTCAGCTGTTGTGGGGACCCAGGTGGGAGGGGAAGTCTAGTGCGGTTGCCAAGGGAAAGCAGAGGGTGCGGAAGGATACTCACTCCTGAGAGGGTCCAGGCTGCTGCCCCAGGAGCGGGGGGCTGCTCCAGAACTGCAGAGACGGGACAAGGCCCAGGGGCCCTTCAGTATCCGTGACCCTCACCCTAGCCCGGCCCTGCCCCACCTCCCAGGACCCCTGTACCCGTGAGGAGGTGGAGAAGACAGCCTGGGGCAGAGGGGAGGGTGGGCTGAACTTGTTCTGTAGGACACTGGCGGAGACGATCTGGGCGGAGGACATGGACGCCATGCTCTGCAGGGCTTTGTCCTTGGAGACTTGGTCCTAGGGAAGGGAGGGGTCCTGTGAGGGTTGGGCCAGGCCAGAGGCCGGACCCACCTTATCTGAGGGCCCCTCCCAGGCTCTCAGGGTTGTGGGAGCCGGGCCATGGCAGCCCCAGCTTGGCTGTGTGGGTGAAGGGGAGCCTCCGCCACCGCTTTAGCCACAGCCCACAGTAAGAAATAAATTTATTTTAGTCCATAACCCAGCATGTACCAAAATAGTTCCCCTTATTTATGTCATGCACTGCCATATTTTTTTTTTCCATCACTGATTCTCAAAGTGTGGTCCCTGGACCAATAGTGGCAGCATCACCTGAAAGCCTGTTAGAGATGCACGTGCTGGGCCCCAGCTCAGACCCACTGAGTCAGAAGCTCTGGGGCCAAGGCCCAGGGACCTGCCTTCACGAGCCCTGCAGGTGACCCTGATGCAGGTTAAAGTCTGAAAGCCACTATAATTCATTCAAAAGAAAATTTTGTTTGCAAACCTGTTATTTTGACTTATAATTCATAATTTGAAAGTCCTACATTGGATGCTCTCCCCTCAACTCCCTCTGGGGAGGGGCAGTGCTACTTACCAGGTTCATGGCCTGTGAAGGAGAGGGAGGACGGATTAGAAGGGCGCCAGTGAAGGGCACGGACTGTGGGGGACGTGTCTTCTCACCTCCCTCCACTCAACGCCCACCTGGCTGTCAGCTTTCTGGGAGCCCAGGGAAGCTCAGAGGCAGCTACGGACCTTCCTCCCGCCCCACTGCCACCCAGGGGGAAGGCTTGCCAGCGGGGGCACCCTGGACAGGGTAGGATGGCAGAGGACAGGTGCTCCTTGGGTCTGGCACGTCCCCTGGAGCTGTGCTATGGGCGTGGAGAGCTGCGGTGGGAGGCCCAGCCCGCTGGGCAGCTATGGGCAGAGAGAAGGAGATGCAGCCTACGGGGCCCGGATACGGGGCCAGGCCAGGGGGATCCTCCAGCACAGAGCAGCTGAGATTGGTGTCCCAGGCAAGGGGCAGCCATGCCCACCACAATAGCTCTGCCAGCCAGTACCCCCCAGTGTCTCCTCCCTGCCCACCTGAAGTTCCCATGCAATCAGCAAGCAGCAGTTAGGAGGGAGGAGAAAAAGGAAATGGAGAAGAGAGGTGGGCCTTAGTGGCCCCCGACAGTCTTCTGGCCTTCCTCCTGTCCCTGTAGGGCTGGCTGTCCCCGTGGGGACAGCTCAGTCTCCAAAGGCCTACGGTGGTCTCTGGGCTTCTTGATGCTGCTTATGTTTCTGAGACCCCTCCACTCCCAATAGCCCCCCAGCCCCTGCCCACTGGAGTTGGGGTCAGAGAGCTGCAACAGGCCTGGGCAGGGCCAGCCAGGTGGCCGGGGACCCATACCTTCAGCTTGGACTGAATCTCCCGAGATTTCCGCCTGGCTAGAACCTGCAAGTGGCTAGAGACCTGCGTAGAGAGAGGGAGACAGAGAAAGAAAAAGAGCAGAAGAAGTGGGAAAAGAGGCAAGAACAGAGCTTCAGCCAGAACAGAGGCACAGCGGGGCCGGAGAGCCGGCCGAGGCCAGGCCAGAGCCGTGCAGAAATAGCGGCGGAGGCCCGTGTGCAAGGGGCCGAGGAGGGGCTGGAGGCCCCAGCCAGGTGCCCAACGTACCTTGATGCCGACCTGGTACTCCCGCACCTTCTTCCGGGCTAGAACCTGTATGTGGCTGGACACCTGGGGGCCGCCCCGCGCCCAGCCAGAGAGGGAAACACAGACAGTGAGGAGGCACGGCCCGGGCAGCCGCGGGCAAGGAGCACCCCAGCCCTCGTCTCTGGGAACAAATGAGAGTAGGAGGAGCTCTGGGGCCCCCGTGGGCGAACACCCTGGCAATTCCGCTTTCCTTCGGCCCTGTTTGGATCCCGGGCCTGCAGTGGCTTCAGGACCACCATGCGAGGGGTGCAGGTTGTGCACGTGAGCACTGGCCCAGCGAGAGCTACTTCCAGGCCAAGCCCTGCTGGCTGAGCAACGAGCCTCGGTGTAGGACTGCATCTAACCCAGAGGAGGAGTACGAGCATCTTCTCATTTTCCCCTGGAGGGGTGACGTCTTTTCACTGGTGCCCTCGGAGGAGACAGCTTTTTCTAACTGGCATCACAGAGGCTGGCGAGGGCCATTAGATCATACACACCTCAGGCCGTGTTTTCTACAAACGCTCTCCCCCGTCCCATTGCCTACGCTTTCCTGTCACCCCATCAGCTTGTGGCCTATACGCCAGGCCACCAGAAGCTTTGCTCATGCAGCTCCCTCCCCCAGTGTTTCTCCTTTCACCCTGGACTAGTAAGTGGCAATAAACATGAACACACACAGTAAGTGCTCTTAATTACATTTTTTCCACAGCACCTCCTCCCTGGCAAAGCTGAGCTAATCACAGTCAGGTTGTGTGTGCCACTGGCTTGCACGACAGACCCTCAACACTGCCAAGGATCTGACCCGGGGCCTCAGAGAGCCCAAAGGCCACTGTTTCCACCTGGAACACAAGGCACGCATGGCTGGCTTGTCCGGGCTGCTGCACAGTTCATTACCAGCAACTGCTATGGCTTTCTTTGCAAGTTGTTTTTATCCCCACACAGAAATAGTTTCTTTTTATTCTTAATCAGAGGCTAAAAGTTACTATGTATACGATGCTGGGCAGCCCCTCAGCTGCCTCATTTGGGGACACTGCGCTGGGGTCAGACACAGGTCCTGCGAGAGCACTGACGCTCACTGGGCACACCTGTCGTTCCTGGCACTTTACCCGCACCGCCAGTTCATCTCCCCGTCGGGGCGCCACTCAGGAGAGGCAGCCTGTCCAAGGTCACACAGCTGGAGGCTACAGCAGGGAACTGGCCCCGGTGGTCTGACTCCAGAGCCCGCCTGCTTCGCCACCAAGCTACGCCAGGTGCCAGGTGCTTTCAGACTCTTAGCACCGAGAACCATCTCCAAATGTTCAACTTGGTGACAGTTGACAGTCCCATAAGGCTTTATCCTAATGTCACATTTTGCCATCTTTTTTCAATATGAAGACACTGTACTTGCTACTAATTACTGTAAATATCTGTAAAAAAACTGAAACTGTATTTTTAAAATCAAAAAACCCAAATGACCTTGCTGTTAGCTCCGTGCTCTTTGAGACACATAAAGACACGCTTTGTTCTTACAGCCATAGGATGGATGGGTCCCATTCTAAGGAGGGATTAAGAGGAGTGCATCTGTGCAAAGTGACAAAGGCCAGCAGTTTTTAAAATTCTGAGCTTGCTGACAGCTGGTTTAATTAATTAATTTAAAAATATTTTATTTATTTATTTTTAGAGAGAGGGGAAAGGAGAGAGAGAGGGAAACGTCAATGCGTGGTTGGCTCTCGAGCGCCCCCTATTGGGAACATTGCCCATAACCCAGGCATGTGCTCTAACTGGGTATCGAACCAGCGACCCTTTGGTTCTCAGGCTGGCACTCAATCCACTGAGCCACACAAGCCAGGGATGGTTTTATTTATAATTATTGTTTTATAATTTTATTTTATAATTAAAATAAAACCTTATTGACTGGCTGGCCTTCACAGAATACCTGGCCAGCAGCAGCCGTACTGCTGAGCCGGGAAGGAAGAGGCTGTGCCGCCCTCCCTAGGCCTCGGCGGGTAGGACCCCTTGGCCCCTGCCCACTCTGTCAGAGGCTCCTCTAACACACCCGCTGGGTGACGCGGACACGCGGAGCCAGTGCCTGCTCTCCCGTCTGGGACGGCTTTCTGTTTACACTGACAGTCATAGTAACAGCCACAGCAGCGCCAAATTCTGGAACAGAGTCTCCTTTGCCCCCAGGCCTTGGCTAACTTAACGGCTGAAGGACAGAGGCTGGGGGCAAAGCACCCCTCCCCGCAGGTAGGGAGCAGGTATTTAAACCTGGGGGTCTGACTGGTCGGTGCTTCTCCTCCAGAGAATGGGGCCCTTGGCTGCCTGGCTCCCTGCTGCATCCCTGGTGCCTAGAACTTCGTGGTAGCTCAATACTATGCTCAATCAATCAATCAATCAATCATCCAATAGGTGCTGTGCGCCGTGAGCTGGCCATGGGCAGTGGTCTGTAAAGCCTGAACAAACGAGGCCGAGTCTCGGCTCCCTCACTGGGTGGGCGGGCTCACAGCCTTCCTTTGAGACCGTGGGTAGGACGGGTCAGGACTCTCATATGCCCACAGGGGAACTGGGGAGGCGGATACAAGGTCCAAACCCCATCCAGACCCCAGCAGGTGGGAGGGCTGAGGGTCAGCAGAGGCTTCCACTCCTCCAGGCACCTGCCTCCAGCCTGTCGCCCTCCCGGGTGCCCCACAGGCAGCCACCCAGCAACTCCCTTCAGGTTCCCCGTCACTGCCCTGCCACTCACCATTGCCACTCACCGTGCCTGGACGGCCAGCCACCCAACCGTCTCTCAAGTCACTCACTGCCCTCACCACTGCCACTACCCAGGCCACTACTGCTGTTGATCTAGGTGCCTGCCTCTAGCCCATCACCAACATTCCTGCTGCCTGACACCATGGCCCCCAGCTGCCCCCAGGAGAAACCTGTCCTTCAGGCCTCCAGCTGAGTCTCTCCCCACTGGCCCTCAGCTCTTTCTATCCTTCCCACCTCACCCCACGTCACCCCACCCTGTGGACGGAAGGCTCTTTCCTGCCTCGTGGGCTGAATCCTGGATCCACCACCTACCAGCCAAGCACCCCTGAGGAAGCTACTCAGACTTCCCCGTGTCTCGGTTTCCTCATCTGTAAAATGAAGATAATTACTGTACCTACATCATATGATTGCTGTGACCAATTTATTTGTTGACCAAATAAATTAATGTCAAGTTAACTCTATACGGAGTCATAATTATTTGTATATCTAACTTCCTCAACCTCGAAGAATCCTCTACTTTTTTTCTGCCTGGCTAAATTCTATTTCTTCTTAAAAATGAACCTTGCATGTCCCCTCCTTCAGGAAGCCTTCCTAGCTCTCCCTTCCCCGCTCCCCTTGCCGGGCTGGGCGAGAAGCTTGTCCGACTGGGAGCGCACGATGCCATCTCAGCCGAGCCCCGGCTCTGTGCTCATCTGTCCACTGTCTGGCTCCACAGCTTGCCAAGGGACCTCGCAGCTGCCCAGTGGGGCTTCTCTGTGGTCACTGAACCGAATTCGGGTCTTGGGAGGGATGGTGGGTGGCCAGAGAGATGAAGCAGCTTGAGGGGGTGTGGAGTCGTGAGGAGGGGGCAGGGTGGGGCGGGGCGGGCGGAGGCAGCTCCGGGAGGTGGGCAGGGCAGTATGATAGGTGGGGACGGAAGGGGCTGGGAGAGTGTGTGCGGGCAGAGGGGCCACAGCATCAGTAGCCTCTTTACCTGCTTTCTTGTCCGAGTCTTTCCCGTCCTCAGTTTAATATAGCGTGCGATCAACTCATTCCGACCTAGATCGGGGTGAGGGAAAAATGAGGGCCTGGAAGCTGGAAGCCACACCAGGCCCCTCTACACCCTCTGCATTCCGGCCCCCACCCTCAGAGGCACAAGCAAGGCAGCCCAGGGTGCTGGTGAAGTCCCTGTTGCAGCCCCCACTGCCTCCAGGACCTGGGGGCTACTCAGTGACGATGGGTGGGGGTTGGGGAGGGTGGGGGCAGCAGACTAGGAGGGAGGTGGAACACTGCCAGGCAGTCGGGCGGCCGGACAGGTTTCCCTGCTGACAGACAGGGCCAGGTGTGGCCCAAGGGCAGCAGGACAGCTGGGCCCCCCACTCCCGGGCCCCAGCAGTGCTCCCCTCCTCCAGGGCTTGCCGCCTGCTCAAATCTCTCAAGGGTATGTAGTGCCGTGTGAGGGAGGCCTGCCCAGGCCGAGGGTGTCTCGGCGAACACTGCCGAGTGCAAAGGGTTCTGGACTGGGTTCCCTCCCAGCTGGGCTTGCATGATGGCAGACCCTGGGCGGGTCCCTTCCCTTCTCTGGTAGAACAACCAATCAGTGTTTCTTTCCCGGCACGAAGGTTTCCAGGCACGAAGGACTGGACGTTCCCCAACACACCTCCTACACGGATGTCTGTCGGGATGTGTCACTGAGCATGTCACTGTGCCCTTGAGCCTGTCAGCCCTGTGTCACCGGTTACCGGTGTCTTTCCTGCCCTGTAAGAGCCCCACTGCCTGTCATCCATGGAGTGGGGGCACTGCTTGGCGCCCTGGACCCTCTGAAGGCCCAGAAACTGCCCAGGGCCCAGGGCTTGGCCCCATGGGCGGGTGCGAGCATGTCAGCATCCTTGGGGTGTGTGCTTCCTACCCCCAAATCCAGGCCCCCTGCCCCCTAACCTCACAGCCTCCCCAGAATGGCCACATTCTCCAAATTCTTCTTTGATGACAGGACCGGCTGCTGC